ACGTGGGAGTCCAGTGACATAGCCATTAGTCAAACTGCTGGTCCCAATCCTTAGTCTGGCATCTCTAAAAGTGTATACACTTCCAGTTGTCGAGATGATCCATAAATATGTTCTGCGTTTTGGGATCAAGCAAATGGCCCCCTCAGACCACTCCTGTCTTTCTGAGGGCAGCTTGCGGGTGTGTACTCACTGGGGCAGCTTCCCCTTCCTGTTCCCTGTGTGGCCCCGGAGCCTGGCTTCACTCAGTCATGCCGCTGGTGTCTTCTCTAGGAGGGAGACCTTTGACTTTGACGATGACTGTGACAGCCTGACGTGGGAAGAGAATGAAGACACACTGCTGCTCTGGGAGGATTTCACCAACTGCAACCCCACCATTGACCTACAGGGCGAGGTGAGCCCAGGGCCTGGCCCCCATGGCTGAGGTGCCAGCCTGTGGCATCTCCTGTAAAGCATCTCACATGTCTGGCCTTTCCCTGTAACCCCTGATACCCCCCTAAATTGTCCCTTTGTTGTTTCTCTAGCAAGAGGAAAACTTGGGCAACTTGATCCACGAGACCGAATCCTTCTTTAAGACGAGAGACAAGGAGTACCAGGAAACAATAGGCCAGATCGAGGTGAGGCTCGCCAAGGGCCTGTGGTGATCGAGTACCCTTACGGGCAGGGCCTGGTAGACTGCAGAGAGCCTAGAACCGGGAGTTAGGAGGCTACCGATCCCTTTCTGGTGCTGGGCAAGTGACACCCCTTTTAGGGCCTCAGCTTCCTAATCTGTAAATTGGGCATGATGAGCCCTGCCTGCCCCCAGGTGTTTTTATTTTTTAATTATTCGGTGGGGATAATGACCCTGTAATGACCAGAGCTGACATCTAATTGATACCGAGTAACTACAGGCACTGAGTACACCCTTCCCGTGTCCTTCCCTCTCCCCCCGTGCAGTAGAAACTGCGCTCACATTTTAGAGGGGAAGACCAGGCTAGGAGAGACCAAATGAGTTGCACAAGGCCTCATGGTCAGAAAGGCCACTCAAGCCATTTCTCTCTGGCTCCAGAGGCTGCGCCCTCAACCACATCTATAAATGAGAGTTATTGCTCCTGTCGGGCTGAGGAGAAGCCCAGCCTCGTCCTTGGGGGAAGTATCTTTGGGTAGAGGAGATGAGCCAGAAATGTGAGGTTCTGTAGACATGTGCATATGCAGGAGCTAGACAGGCTGCCCTGGTGGAGTGCCCGGAACTGGGTGGGGCTTAGCAGGGCTGGCTGCCTCCGGGTTGCAGTTGGTCCCCTTTGATCTCCGCGGTTCTAAAGGGCACAGGCCGGTGTGCAGAGAGCAGAGGGCCAGGGAGGCGGAGGTCTGTGAGGCAGGGTCCTGAGGGCACAGTGTCTGGTGCCAGCGCTGAGGAAGCGAGGAGGGTGGTGGCTGAGGACGACTCGCCCTCACCCTTACTCCCTGTTGCTTTCCTCTAGCTGGAGCTGGCCACAGCCAAGAGCGACATGAACCGGCACCTGCACGAGTACATGGAGATGTGCAGCATGAAGCGCGGCCTGGATGTGCAGATGGAGACCTGCCGCCGCCTCATCA